CTGCATGCGCGTGGGAGACCCGGAAGAGGCTCCTGGCTTCGGATCGGCATAGCATCGGCCTGTTGCGCTCACTTGGGGAGTGAATCATCGGAGGAAGATCTTCCTCTCTGTCTCTCCTCTCTGTATATCTGCCTTTCCAATAAAAATAAATCTTTAAAAAAAAATAAGAAAGGTTGATATAGAGTAGTGCTTCCCTTTGCAAGAGTATCTGCTGGGAAGGAGCATTAGGGAGCCTTTCTAGTCTGGAATGTCCTGGGTGGCAGTGATGACACAGCATATCAGAATTCACTGAACCCGAGTTGGGCACTTCACCAAATAGAAGCTATGCCTCAACTGCATTGGTTTTGTATACCTTAATATCTAAAAGTTAATTATACAACATTAAAGCCCTGGAGTCATACAGATCTTACAAATCAAGGCTCTTCCATTTCTCAGTATTATGATCCTACAGGTATTACTTAACCTTGCTAAAGCATACAGATTTCATCTGGAATATGAGGATAATACTTATTTCATGAAGCTGCTGTGTGGAGTAAGAAAGTAGGCCCATTTCAAGCACAATTATTTAGCAATCCTGATGATCAACATCACTATTATTGCCATCAAGGGCATGATGAAAAGTAGGGAACAGAAGCTAGCTTCCATATGTCAGATGGAAACAAATGGGCCATCACAAAGAGGTACACTGCAAGCCTGGGAGTACAATGGCAGGATGCTAGCTGAAGCTTGGGGATAGTATAGTCTTATGGTTAAACATACAGGCTTTTGGCCTCAGTGTATGATCCAACGGTTAAGCTGCCATTGGGGATACCCACATCCCAAATCAGAGTGCCTGAGTTTGAGTCCTGGCTCCATCTCCCAATTTCAACTTCCATAGAGGTAGCAGGTGATGGCTCAAGTACTTGGATCTCTATCACTCACAGTGCCTGGCTTAGGTCTGCCCACTCTTGGTTTCCGTGGGCACCTACAGAAGGAAGCAGCAGGTGACAGACCTCTCTGTCTCTATGGTTCCACCTCCCAAAGAAAAAAGTAAAGCTCTTGAAGCTAGCTATCTACTTAGTAGATATGTGGCTTTGTAAAAGCTCCTTGACCTGAAAGTGGAAATACTAATATCTGCTTCCTATAGAGTTTGTGAAATTTAGAGTGAAAAGGGGAAAAAATGACTGCATGTCAAAACTAGTCATTTAAATTATCTGCGGACTATTTACTGCTGAGATGAAATTGCGTTAGTAAAGCTGATTTCCAACGAGGTTTTACCTTGGCTCATCATCCTTGTTACTTACATCTCTACTCAAAATAGATAAACATAAATATATTCATCTAGAAGAACTGTATAAGGGAGACTAGCATATCAAGAAATGAAGACACAGTGCAGTATACATTTCTACTGCCCCCCCAAATGATGAACTCCCAATGAAACTCTTAATTATATCTTGACAATAGGATGCTGGATTTTCTACCATTGTCTATACCTACAATGTTATGATACGCTTAAATAGCAGAATGATGGACCTGTGACTATTGTTGAAGGACTCTACTATCGTAATAATATAGGGGAAAATAGTTTGTGTTGGGGGGAGATTTGGGGAGGGTGGAAGGGAAAAGCACCGAACCTTTGGAAATGTGTCATGAAAAATAAAAATTATCAAAAAAAAATCTTCCTAAAGTAGAATACTTGTTTCTTAGTGTTGCTGAAACAAATTAACCCATGTGAAGTAGCTTTAACAGTTGAAATGTATTCTCTTACAATTCTAGAGTCTAGAAGTCCAAAAATTAAAGATTTGGCAGGGTCATGATCTCTCTAAATCCTCTGGGGAAATTTCCTTTCTTGCCTCTTCTAGCTTCAAGTAGTTCTTGCAATTCTTGGTGTCCTTTAGCTTGCAGATGCTTCATTTCAGTCCTTGCCATTCTTTCACATGGCTTGCTCGTGTGTGTGTGTGTGTGCACACGCATCTGTTTTTCTTTTCATCAGGACACTAATCAGAATCTACAATGACCTGGCTTAAATGAATAGCATCTTCAAAGACACCACTTTCAACACAATCACATTCTGAGGTTATGGGTAGACAATACAAAGAATTTACCAAGAATTCTAAAATCAGGAAGTGCTCCAATGCACTATTAACCATTCTTTTTTTTAAAAAAATAGGTATTTTTTTATAGCTGAAATTGCTTTTTTTTCCCACTTATTACCTACCTCTCCTAAATAGGACCAGATTTCCTTATGGTAGGAACCAGTGTAGTGCCTGACCTTTAGTTGAAGTTAAAGATTTAAAGATTTAAAGATTTAAAGTTAAAGATGTATACTTAATAGCATGAACTGATTCTGACTGGAAGAGATAAGGAGCAATAATTCAATAAAAATAAAAAGTGAGTCAGTGCTGTTGGAACTTCTCCCACTTCAAAGCATAATATTTATTATGATCAGTGGACGGTAAATCAGTGAAATATTCAAAATGTTAGCCAATCAATCAAGTGTTCTAACCACAGCACGGGTTATTCAATGACATTCTGAGTCCTGCGATTTATAAGCGTCACTTCAGAAGTATGTGGAGAACTAGAGGAGGAACTGGATGAAGAGCAAAAGAAGCCAGCCTCCCAGCTCTGACCTACACCTCCACTTCAGCCACTCTCGTTACTTCATGCAGTTTCGTTTGAAAAAAAAAAAACAAAAAAAACAGCTCTTTTATAAGTTTGGAAAATCACTGGCAAACAGCTTGCTAAATCTTTTTCTCTTAAAATATTTTTGTCTAGCTATACTCTTTAAGTTAAATCTGATTTTATTCTAAGATTTAGCTTAATGTTTAATTGAGTTTAAAAGAAATTATTAGAATATAAGATTATTTTTTAAGCAATTTTAACTTCCACAAACTATTCCAATTAATATCAAGTGTCTATCAAACATCCTAAGGTTTTAATCCCAACCACTTAAGCAGTGTGGTACAGTCAAAACAGTATGAGCTTTGTTGTCAGAACTGCCTTTACCATGTATGACACTGGGTAAGTCACATCTCCAGGGTTTTCTGCCTTGTAGAGTAACAATGTCAATTTGACAAATCATTTTGAGAATACATATATAAAGTGTGCAAGCACATCCACACACAGGAGACTATGTAAGAGTCCTTCGTTCCAGTAGTTGTTTTTTTTTTTTTTTTTCCAAAAATCTGTGAGATTTCCAGTAGTGTTTCCAAAACATTTCTCAAGGATATGTTATGGCACTTTCCTAATTTCAAATTCCTCATGTTGAAAAAGCCCAATAATCTATTTATCACTTAATAAAGTAGAAATTTTGCTTGAACTAGCTAACTAGATAGCTAGAATTGAGTTATCTCACATTAGTAAGTGGCTAAAGGTTTTCCCAATAACACAATTCAAAGAGATTAACTAATAGACCATTTATTCCATGAGGAATATAAGTTGCCCATCTGCATTTATACATGACTTTCTAAAACTGACATAGACCTCATAATTGGGCAGAAAGCCCTGTAAACAGATGGATGTGAAAGCTTAGGTGCCAGAAATTCAACATGGTCACATTTCAGGTAGAATGCTAAAATAGTGACAGTTCTTTCAATTGGTCATCTGTTCCAAATAATAACTAAATCTGTCAAAAATAGAGAATAAATTCTGAGATGTATGAATATTTATTCAGCCTTCAGTAGGAATTAATAATAGTTCATATTCAAATATTTCAGTACTTTAAAAAATCTATCAATCTGATATAATCTTTGCTACAGTTATAGCTGAAAAGAAAAATCTAAGTTGTTAGTTTACTGCATGGCCCTGTCTTTTGGTTCCACCTTTCTAGCTCCAGTTTAGCACTCATTCCTACAGTGAGCAGGCAGAGATTCCTAAGTGATTATATTTGTAAAGATGCAACAGCAAATATGTTCATTTTAGTGGTATCTATAATGCATCAAACATGGACTTATAGTTATCAATAGATTAGTGGCTAAAAAAGCATCCTATTTACACAAGTACTAAATTGTTTTATAAAAACTACAGTATGAAAGCACTAATGCTATGTTGTAGGACAATATATTTTTTTAAAGACTTAAAAGAGTTACAGAGAAAAAAGTTTAGATTGAAGAAGAGAGAGAATGAGAGAGACAGAAAGAGAGATCTTCCATCTACTGGCTTAATTCCCAAATGGCCAACAAAGACTGGAGCTGTGCCAAGCCAAAGCTAGAATCTAGCCAGAAGCTTCTTCCAGGGCCTCCCTGTGGGTACAGGGGCCCAAGCATCTGGACTACCTTCTGCTGCTTTTCCAGGCCACTAGAAGCAAACCAGATCAGAAACAGAGCAGCTAGGTCTCAAACTGGTGCTCATATAGGATGCCTGCACTGCAATTGGCTTATCTTGCTACTCCACAATGCTGGCCCCTATAGGGCAATATTTTAAGAAATGAGGAGAGTAGCAGTGTAGTGGGTTAAGCCACCTGCAATGCAGGTATCCCATGTGGGCACAGGTTTGAGTCCTGGCTGCTCTGCTTCTGATCCTGGTCGCTGCTAATGTGCCTGGGAAACCAGGGAAAATGATCCAAGACCTTCTGGCTTTGGTTAGGCCCATTCCTATTCATTATAGCCATTTGGGAAATGAACCTGCAGATGGAAAGTCTGTCTCAATCTGTCTCCCTGTCTCTAACTCCCTTTGAAATAAACAGATAAAAATCTTCAAAAAGCAAGTGAGAAATGTTTATAAACTGTAAGCAAAGAAAGTGGGTAGCAAATGGTATCTACGTGATACGTGGTATGATTTACCACATATACATATGTAGAATGAATGGAACACCATCCATCAAATGTTGACTGATTTTTCACTTGAGTACAATTTTCAAGCATTTTACCATGAAACTGTGACAAATGTCTGTAAAATAATGTTTCAATAAATGAGAAATTAAATGGATTTGAGGGCTCTTTCTTCTATATCAGAAGCTAACTGAATTCACCACCCACTCTGCTTCAGCTCTGGTCCAAGTTACCACCACTACAGCATCCTACCTGATCTCCTGCTTCTGCTTCTTGTCCCACTTCAGTCAGATCTTCTACACAGGACAGATCATGTCACCTCTGGTCTCCAAGTCCTTGAAAGGCATATGATCTCTGGGTAAAAATAAAAGTTACCAGACTCGCTTACAATCACCTGTATGACTGAGATTCTGTTTTCATCAGAGGCATCCCCCTATTTTCACCTTATCACTTCACTCAGTTTCCTAGTTGGCTCCCAATTACTCAGTGCTTGTTGGTCTTACTGATCTTCATGCTGGAACTTGAATTTTTGCCTCTCACCCCAACATCTGAAATAATGTTTCCAAAATTTCCAATAGCTCATATCTTTATTTCTCCAGGTTTCTAGTTACTCATTCTTTTAGAGAAGATTTTTCTCTTCATTCCAGTTAGCATTACTACCTCCAGATCTTCCTTTCCACCAGACTTCCTAAATTTCTGTCTTGCTTTATTTCCATTCCTAAAATATACATACATCTAACCTACCAAAATCTTACCTCAACATTTTTTTTCCACTTCCTGACTCATTCTCTGTAGAGTTTAATCTCCATGATGCAGGGGTTAGGCTTTGTTTTGTTGGGGTATCTGCACCAGTTACAAAGAGATTTTTACTTAGGGAACCAGTTTCTCAAAACCACCAGTAACTTGTAAATCCAAGACAATCTGGGAGGATTCAAACTTCAGTTCTATATTTGTACATTGTTTTACATGAACCACCGCAATAGGGTGAGCATTTGACCTAGTGCTAGTCACACGTTAGTGTGCTTGTGTCCCGCATTAGAGAACCTGAATTCTACCCCTGCCTGGCGCTCCAGCTCCAGCTTCCTGCTCCTCTGCACTGGGAGTTGGTGCTGACCACTCAGGTAACCAAGCTCCTACTGCCCAGAAGGGAGATCTGGACTAGTTCACACTCCCAATTTCACCCTCCTTTCCCACCTTCCCACCATGGTGGGCATTGGGTCAGTGAGCCAGCAGAAACAACTTCTCTCACTTTTTCAAATAAATAACTTTTTAAAATTAAAAAGAAGCAGTATAGTTAGGAACAAGCATATTTACCAGTTTTATTTTCCAGCCAATTAGGTAAGCAATCTAAAAATTCCAAACCAGAAGGGACAATACATTTCATTGGCTTTCCTAATTGTTCTGACGTTTTTAAGGAAAGGAGGGTTATTAAATCTACCAGAATAGACTGGGTTGGAAAAGCTCTTTAGTTCAATTACACTTGCTACATTATCAGAATGTGTAAACTAAGCAAGCTTGATGAAACATATTATAGGTTAACTACTATGCGTTTCAGGTTTTGGATCCTGTCATAGGTCAGCCTTACAAATGTACAACGTGGGTTTTTTCCTAAGTATTTGTTTAGTGATTATTAATGATCAGGCCAATGAAGCAATTATTTAGCATAACACTAGGGCTTCTTAACTAACCATATTTTTAAATTAATGAGGCCAAAAGAATTCAAACTATGACAAATAAAAGTTGATGTTATCCATTTACAAGAAATAAAAGCCCAAGGCTACTTATTAAAATATCATCCTTTTATCAGAACTGAGAACGGTTTTTTTTTTTTTTACCATTTAGGAAGTTTGAATTTATTTATATTTAGACAGTATATTTGGTACCTACAAGTAGCAAAAGAAAAAAATTTGACAAATACCGATCTCCAAATTTTTAAGTTATTCATTATCATTTCAATTAAAGAAAATATGCTAGTAATAATTTTCCAATTATAACCTTAATTGACATACATACTTTTAAGAGCTCTTACAGAAAACTAAATTGGCAGTTTTATTCATTGCAGTAATAGATATGTAGAATTGTCATTATTATATTATACTGAGAACCCATTTCAAGGGCATGAAACCTGTGCAGTATCTCAAAGTTCTACGCTAGGTTGTATTATCACACTAAGTACTTGATACCTTGTTAGACGTAGAGGTCATTTGACTTTAAGAAGATCACAGGCAGAACAGTAAACTTCCATGAAGAAGGTGCACAGTTAGCTCAAAGGCAAAGGGAGGAGAAATGTAGCACCAAAAGTTTGAGGGTGGGGGGAAGTGAAAATCACCTGCTACAGTGGCACACTGGAGTTTACATGAGGCTTCAGCTTTGTCCAGAGCTCCAGGGTTAATGCTGTCCCTTACCAGAAAAAACAGATAGGATCCCAAATCCTTACCTTGGGATATTCTGCATCAGGTTGATTCTTATATTTCTACAAAAAGTTTTAGGTCTTTATAACTTGTGCAGCATATCCCAAGATGACAGTCTGTCCTCTTCGCTTTCAATTTGCTCTGAAATTGGAGCATTCCTGCAGGAAATAAGTTACTCATCATGGATGGGGACCTAAACTGCATAGAAGGTAGGTGTCAAAGATCAACCTTTGAGCATTTCCTAAGAGATAATGTAATATATATATGTGTGTGTTATAAACATACACAAGTGTGTATATATATGTATGTACATATAACATAATATATATATAACCACTATTTATTTGAAAGTCAGAGACAGTGATGGTGAGAACTTCCATGTGATTTATTCCTCAAATGTCTCAGCAGTTAGGACTATGCCAGGCTGAAGCCAAGAGACCAGAACTCAAATCTGGGTCTCCCACCTTGAGTGCCAGGGATCCAATTAGCTGAGCCCTCATTACTGTCTCCCAGGGTGATCATTACCAGGCAGGTGGAGTTAGGACTTTGATGTGGGATACTGGCACTCCACGTGGCATCCTAACCACTCTACCAAATGACCATCCCAAGATAGTGGCGTCTTATACATGGTCTAGTTTAGATTGAGTAGCTGTATACCTGGGCAGAATGAGGAAACATGGTACTTAAGTTACTCAAAAGTTTAGTCAGTCAACAAATGGGCATCTCATGATTGGTTTTAGAACACAACAGTCATGTTTAATGACTACATGTTTCCATTGTTATAATTAACATTTTGTATAAATTTAGAGGGGAAAAAATAACTGAAAATCCTTTAATTTGTCTCTTTTTTGAATCATCAGATTGTGTGAATATGAAAGCACAATATTTTGGTGTCAAAATTAAACAAAAACATTTTGAATTTAAACTTTGTATCTTACTCTTTTCATGATAAGTTTTTTATATCTAGCATTGGTGACTGTCACTTCAGATACACAATTTTTGAGGCAAAAAAAAAAAAAAAGAAATGTTTCATCATCCTTAGCTCAGGGAAATATTTTTAAACTTAAAAAGACTTCATTTTGAGCACAGTACAATTTTTGAATACTATGGTATGGATACCTCCATTTATCTATCCATCTATTTAATATACACTTCTGAGTGTGACACATATAGTGGAACAATTACATGGTTAAAACAACAACGACAATGACAGTAACAACTTCATGCTAACTCCTAAGGGTTGGATGTTTGCTCCTGGAAGATGGATGGTCTAGTTTTAGAAGTGAAACCATATACAAGATAGTAAATACTAAGTGTCAAAAAGTAGAATAAAACATAAAATCACATGAGGGAGACATGTAAATTGACAGCTGAATTTGATGGGGAAAAAAAATCAGCTTTATTACTCACACATGTATTCGAAAGGCAGAGAGAGAGGGGATAGGAGGAGACAGAGGAAGAGAGAGGGCCTTCTATCTGTTGGTTCCCTTCCCAAATGGCAACAGCTGCTACTGTGTTAGGCTAAAACTAGGAGCCAGATACTCCATCCAGGTCTCCCACACGGACAGGGTCCAAGGACTTGGGCCATCTTTCACTACTTCATAAGCCCATAAGCAGTAAGCCAGATTGCAAGTGGAATGTCTGGGACTCAAGCTGACACGTGATGCCACTGACAGCACGTAGTGCCTTAGCTTGCTGTGCCACAATGTTGACCCCCCCAAATTAGTTTTAAAAGTTTATTCTTTCAGCAAATCAAACACTTTACTTCCATGTTAGCAAAAGAATACATGGAGTTTATGAAACATTTGTGATTTTTGAAGTAGAACATACTGTATCTAAATTTATAAAAGTTATTTATTATTATTCAACACTGATTCAAAAATTAAAACAATAACTAATTTGATGATGGGAAAGAAATAACATTATTTTATCCAAGTTACTAACTGTAATTGTGTAGTTAATTATTTTTAAAAGGCTTGCTTTAGAAACAAAGCTTAGGCCCTGGCGGCATGGTCTAGCGGCTAAAGTCCTCGCCTTAAACACCAGGATCCCATGTGGGTGCCGGTTCTAATCCCGGCAGCCCTGCTTTCCATGCAGCTCCCTGCTTGTGGCCTGGAAAAGCAGTCGAGGCTTCAGATCAGCATAGCATCGGCCATTGCGCTCACTTGGGGAGTGAATCATTGGACGGAAGATCTTCCTCTCTGTCTCTCCTCCTCTCTGTATATCTGACTTTGTAATAAAAAGAAATAAATCTTTAAAAAAATAAAAAAAAAGAAACAAAGCTTAGAATGTTTTATCTTAACTCTGAGGGATAGCAAATATTGCATAGGTTAATATGGGTTTACTTTAAATTTAACAATCCCTGAAAGATATAAAATAAAACAAATAAAATCAGTTATTCTAATTTTACTAGATGGAATCATAAAACCAATTTTCTAATTACTCATACCAATAAACCATTAAGCTTCTTAACCCTGTGTTCAATTAATATTATGAATCCTCATGTTTTCAACTAATTTTAAATGATTACATTGGATTTCTATTAGAACTTTAAGAATACCATTACTTAATAAAATGAAATAGCATTTGCTGTTATATACACACGCCTCCATATATAATGTATCTATAAATCATTTCCTATACCTTTTAAGTGAGTTACGCATGTCAGATGATTAAAAATTAAAATCATACATATATAGATTTGCAGTGGCTGTCTTCTAAACAGTCACACCAAGTATTATATATAATTATGCTCTATCTATTCTATTATAAATTTAAAAAATGAGAGTTGAAAATAATCCTAATTTCCATGTATGCAACAGTGCAGATATGTATATGTGTATGTACGTATCCATTTATGCCAATGAGCGCCACTCCCCCAGACACTAGGCAGACTCCCTCATCAGTTCACTCGTTTGCACAGGTTTAACTTCACAGAAGCCT